AACTATCCAAAATGTAATTACGAATAGACAGAAAGACGTTGTTGATATCTACAATGTTAATTCCGGACAGGCAAACTTAGCTTTTAAATGTTAAAAGGGCTTGCCATACAGGGACGTAGGCTCAGAGAGAGGCTCACCATATTCAAACCAAAATATCTGACTTCCTCTTGGTCCGAGCTAATGACTATGTATTAGAAAGTTGTCCGGCTTGAGGAGTACAATGTATATACCGATTTTTGTAACTGTAGATAAAACTAACAACCCCACTTTTGTCAAAAGGTGGCGCTATTTAGTCCTTGCACATTGCCCGTTTCTGAAACTTTGCACGTCTACTGGCTAATAAATGTGATGTATCTGTTGAGTTTCAAGCAATTTCAATTTCAATTTGACTGTTGAAAAGAAGTGCGCCGATTAGATACTCAGGATCGGTATCGGCTCTGACACTGCCATCTTTGACGAGGCTGATTCAAATTCTATATTGTGCATATACTATTCTGTTAGGCACAAAGGCACAAAAACTTTCTAAAGTACCATAAAGTTTTTGTGTACTGTATTATTAGTGTTCTGAAGCTATTATGTGATATAGAAATTAATATTTAAGTCATTAAATTCAAGAACACAAACTTTTCCCTCTCTGCGCCTGTCAGTCATTCTCCATTCAGCATTCAAACAGCACGTCACATTCGGTTACAGTCAATGATGAAACGATCTTCAATGATTCAATGTTAATCCTATTATACTGGATCTTTAAGATAAAGGTCTAAAGGTCTATATTTTCGAATGAAGAAACTTTTTCTTGCTGGACTTTATTGCTGTAACTTAATCGTGTTACTTTCTACCGGGTGTCGGACGCTGTCGGTTAGATCACAACACTAGAGTCAGAGCACTATAATTGTTCTTCACGCACACAGTAACTGAAATTTAAAACCTTTAAAAGAAAAGGCTCAATAAACTATTGCATAGATAGATAATGTATAATACACTGTTCATAAATATGTATTTCCTTTGTGCTTTGAACTTTTCAATACGGACTCAATGCGCTGTAACTTCATGTGGCTTCAAGCACATCATTCTCCGCTCGGGATGCACATAAGTGCTTTGTGCTGCACCGTATTGGAGCCGTAATATCATAATGCAGTGACGTAATGACAGATTATTAATTGCCTTTCAATTATATGTTGCTTTATAGCAGCCATGGCTATATTTTTTTTTAATGATTTTTGTTATCTTGTTTTTCATGAATGTATTTTTCAAAAATAAGAGCAATGTGTATTATCTATTATTAATATGGTTTATAATAGCATTTTTGTCATAGATTATGACAAAGTAATCATATGATCCACCAGCGAGGAACCAGCAGAACAGAGTGAACATTCTTTCTGTTTAGTTCAATCCTACTTAATAGGAATTTATTTAAAATGCTCGCTCTACTCCACACCATTAATGTCTTGTGCGGACATCCGTATTTTGACTTTCGGTTTTAAGTAAGCGATTTAAAAGCTCCCAAGTCCCAGCGGAGTCACACGTTGATTAACCGGTGGGAATATACACAATAGGCCTACCTGATATTGAACACAAGAGGGCAGTATAGCACTACGTATGACTCAGATTATTATTTTTTTATGAATTTTACAACAATTCTGGCTGTTTTTGAACGTAAACACAATTCTTAAATGAAAAAAAAGGAAAAATTGGGGAAGTTATAATATTTGTATAATTTAATTTAGAAACAAATGATGTATAATTACATTTTTAGAAGATATGAGGCTTTTAGTGTTTACTTTTTTGACATTACTTTAATCTTTTGCCATAGTTGCACATGTCTATTGGCTAATAAATGTGATGTATCTGTTGAGTTTCAAGCAATTTCAAGCAAGCTAAGAGTCCCAAAAGCATCAAAAAATAATGTTAAAGTTTGTTTCGTTGCCACGGCATTTTGAAAGTGACACACTTCCTGCTGCCAGTTGGTGGCGCTATAACTTTGACTCACAATAGTCACATCCATGTGATCGGTCTCTTACAGCGAAAACACTGCTGAAGTTTCATCAAGATCAGTTAATGTATGCTGAAGTTATAACACACATCCTGTTCCATGTTTCTCGCCATAATTTCGTTTCCTCGCCACGGCCAAACCGTTCGAGATATCAAAAATCCCGTGGCACTTTTTCATCCTTAATGTCTTGACTTCACGCTGATCGAGTTTCGTCGAATTTGGTTCAGTGCTCTAGGAGCAATAATTTAAATTACATTGCATGTGTTTTAAACACAACCCTAAATAGCCAACTTCCTGTTGGGCTGGGGTAAAAAGTAAGAGTGTGAAGTATATATGAAACGATGAGATCTATATGTGTACCAAGTTTCATATTATTACATGCAAGTGTGTTTGATTTATGGACCAAATTTTCAGACCAAGTTTATTGACCAAGTTAATCTGATTAATAAACTAATTATATAAAACTATTGTCAATTCACTACAATTAAACTAGTTATATGCCTTTACTTATAAAAAATAAAAATAAAAACTTATTTAAAAAATACCAGGCTTGAGAAATGTATTTTCTTTATGCAGGTCATACACACAGCAGTGAAATGGTTAAGCCCCCTCCCCCTGCACACTCACACACACACACAGACAGCCAAAGACAGAGACACAGAGACATATAGGCTCAGAGTGACCATATTCAAACAAAAATATCTGAGTTTCTGTGGGTCCTAGCTAATAAGTGTCAATTAGAAAGTTGTCCGGCTCGAGGAGTACAATATACATACCAATTTTTGTAACTCTAGTTAAAACTAACCACCCCACTTTTGTCAAAAGGTGGCGCTACTGAGCCCTCACCACGCCCGTTTCTGCAACTTTGCACATGTCTACTGGCTAATAAATGTGATGTGTCTGTCGAGTTTCATGCATTTTGAAGCATGCTAAGGGTCTCAAAAGCATCCTAAAAGCATCCTAAAAGAAGGGTAAAGTTTGATGCGTCGCCACGGCAACAGTTTCAAAGATATCAAGAATCCATTCACAGGTCTACATCTGCCGTATGTTTACATTATACATATGAAGTTTGAAGCAAATCGGGTAAAAATAAAAGGGTGATATCTAAGCATTTTGAAAGTGACACACTTCCTGCTGCCAGTTGGTGGCGCTATAACTTTGACTCACAATAGTCACATCCATGTGATCGTCCTCTTACAGCGAACACACTGCTGAAGTTTCATCAAGATCAGTTAATGTATGCTGAAGTTATAACACACTTCCTGTTTCACGTTTCTCGCCATGATTTCGTTTCCTCGCCACGGACAAACCGTTCGAGATATAAAAAATCCCCTCGCAAACTTTCATCCTCAATGTCTTGACTTCACGCTGACCGAGTTTCGTCGAATGTGGATCAAAGCTCTAGGAGGAGTATTTGACATTCCATTGCGAGCGTTTTACAAACAAACCTCAATAGCCAAATTCCTGTTGGGCTGGGGTAAAAAGTAAGAGCGCGAGGTATAGATGAAACGATGAGATCAACGTGTGTACCGAGTTTCATATTATTACATACAAGCGTGTTTGAGTTATGGACCAAGTGTTCGGACCCCGTTCCAGGGGGCGCTGACGAGCTGCCCTGCCACGCCCGGGTACCATCTTCAGCCCGGCTCTGATGGCCGCGGGTTCTGACCCGTGTGCAAAGTTTCAAGAGTTTTCGAGCACGTTAAGGGCCCCAAAAGTGCCCAAAAGGTAGTAAAATAATAATTATTATAATAATAATAGTGAAGAAAAATAATCCCAAGGAAAACAATAGGGCCTTCGCCCTTTCAGGGCTTGGGCCCTAAATAATCCCAAGGAAAACAATAGGGCCTTCGCCCTTTCAGGGCTTGGGCCCTAATAAATAATCCTTAGGAAAACAATAGGGCCTTCGCCCTTTCAGGGCTTGGGCCCTAATTAACAAGCAGTTCTTCAGAGCCCCAAGGTGGAATTGCTTAATATTAAAGGTCACTTTGAAATTAATTTTGATATGTTTTATCTTACCTCAAGGGCATCCAAGATGTAGGTGTCTTTGTTTCCACAGTATTTTCAATTTTGACATTTTTAGGTCAAACCGTTCTTGTCTGTCAGTCATATAATGGAGGTCTATGGTCACCACCTCAAAGAGCAGCACAGAGAAGTCCAGATTAAACATGATTTAATGACTCGTAAATGTAAGTACACGAAACGAGCGGTTTGTGTGAGAAACCAACAGTATTTAGGCCTATATCGTTTTTACCTCTTGTAACCACAGCCAAGTCCAAGTGACCTGAAGGCATAATCGGTCTGCGCAAGCGCCGGAAGTGATTCATTGTTTACACAGAGATTTCGGAAGTTTTAACTGTCACTGGGATCTAAACATATTTAGATATATAGGAAAACGCAATAAAACTTCCGAATCTCTGTGTAAACAATGAGTGTCGTAGACGCGCAAGAGATCACTCCCGGCGCATGCGCAGACCGAAGCGCCCGTGCCTTCAGATCAGTCGGACGTGGCTGTGGTTACAAGAGGTAAAAACGAAATAAATACAGTTCGTTTTCTCACACAAACCGCTCGTTTCGTGTCTTAGGCCATCAATGTGTACTTACATTTACGAGTCATTAAATCATGTTTAATTTGGACTTCTCTGTGCATGCTCTTTGAGGTGGTGACCATAAATCTCCATTACACGACTGACAGACAAGAACGGTTTGACCTAAAAATGTCAAAATTGAAAATACTGTGGAAACAAAGACACCATCTTGGATGCCCTTGAGGTAAGATAAAACATATCAAAAATTAATTTCAAAGTGAACTATCCCTTTGAACCGTGATTACTTTTTCAGGATTCGTTAAAAGTTCAAGAGAAAAGCAATTAATTAAAAAATATATATATATTTTGCATTACTATAAATGTCTTTACTGTCACTTTTAATCAATTTAATGTGTCCTTTCTGAAGAAAAGTATTTCTATTTTATATAAAATAAAAATAAAAATCATATTGACCCCAAACTTTTGAACGGTAGTGTACATTTTTATTAAATTGAGTAAAATCAAATCATAAAAGGTCAATGAATGCATACCAGAAGTGATAGCAGCTAAAGAAAAATCCTCCACCAAATTGCCAGTAATCATATGGATCCTTGGTGAGTCTGGAAGGGGAAACAAGAAATGATTCAATGAGAAGCTCTAAAAAAGCCCTAAAAAAGCAGGATTTTTTTTCCATTCCATAAACAATCTTAAAATGTTTTTAATACTACAAACGTTTGCCATTATAACACATTCACACAACATGAACAGAGTACTGTCATCTTTGATTATTACATGATTAAAATGTAAACGCATATTTAAAGCATGGCAATCCCATCAGAAAAATGTGTATCATAGAAAGGGAAGCACACAAAAAAGCCAACTGGTACATCAAAATCAAGCCATAATATAATGTTACCTGCAGCCTTTATCCTGTTATGACATGTCTGAGGGTCTTTCCCTTAATGTTTTCCAGTGAATTAAAGACAGGACTGATGAAGGTAGGTGACATGACCTTTCACTGCGGCACGTCAGAGGAAGAAAGACAAAAGTACAAAAAGTTACTCAGACTTTCTATCAGTAAATGTCTTTCTTTGATGATGAGAATCATACTTTATACTTTATATTAATCCCAGTGTAGGTTTTCGAAAGAGTGTGTAAAATTCACAAGAAACAAAACAAAAACAACTTACTGTAGTTGGTGGATTTGTCTCTATTTGGGTGTTCCCCCCCCCCCCGAAAAAATCATATTCCAATGCTTGACCTAAAACAAACAAATATAATTATTGGGAGTTATCAGTGTTCAAAGAGGTTTTGAACTTCTAACGAATAAAGTACGATTTTATCACTTTATTCCGAGACTAATTACCTCTCATGCATTTACGCTAACACAAACCACCAACAACAACGCACAGCAGTGTCAGATGGTAAATAAACTTAATAATATCTCTAGCGCATTCACTGATGCAGTACAAAAACACTCATTTGCAGGCTGCATTACTATGTCCGTTACCAGTTTGTAAAAAATCTTGTCTACAGTACAGACAGTAAAAAAATGAAGACAATGATCTTCATTAACGGGTGATTATCAGCTTATAGCATTAATCTAACGTTACCCACAAACTAAACACTCTATTCAACAGATTTCAATGTAACGTTAATAATACCTTTTAAAGATTTATTGATATTTGTTAACATATCTAAAGTGAAACTGTGGTAACGTACATACATTAAGGACAGGAGCATAACGTTTAACATTCACGTTAGAATGTTAAAGAATGAAAAATGTCGTCTTACCTGAAGTGATTTCGCCAGTATTTTTATAGACCACGTAACATTACGACCCCATTCTCTGTTCACATTCCAGCTTTTGTCCTTCATTGACATATCACAACTCAAATTCGCTCAAAATAAGAATTTAACAAGAATTTTTAAAATAATTCGTGTCCGACGAGGTAATAATCAGCAGAGCAGATGCTCACCTCACAAACCGACTCAAACAATAACGGACGTATTTTCAAACCTAAAATAGGCGCGCATTTTGTCATTGGCCAGTTTCCTGGAAGACAGAAAGATTAACCAATCATGATCAAAGTAAACCGGTGGAACAACCAATAACAGTAGTTTCAGCGTGGTAACGTAGCGAAATGTGTATAGTATATTTAGTTTGCAGTCTGTACCCAGATAGCAAACTGACATTGAATCAACGTTGAAATATGACATCGAAACAACGTTGATCTGACATTATTTTGCTCATCGAATTAACGTTGAACCAACGTCAGACGCGTCATTCTTTCAAAACTAACGGAAAATCAACTTGAAATCAACGCGTTGTTTCAACGTTATGAAAGCAAACCAATTTTCGATTTTCATTTAGCTTTGAAGAATGCCGCGTCTGACGTTGGTTCAACGTTAATTCGATGAGCAAAATCAACGTTGTTTCAATGTCATGAGAGACGTCGTTTCCACGTTGATTCAATGTCAGTTTGCTGTCTGGGTATTTAATGAATTAATTTGTCAAATGGTGTTTTCATGACAGCGTATGATTAAAAAAAATAATAAAGCATGGTAAACTGTTAGGTAAGCACACAGTATTGTAAATCCACACAAAATCACAAAGCAAAAAGTTTCGCTGCACTCTTGAGGTTGAAATTATTGGAGAGTTGTCTATAATGATAATAATTATATTTTAACATATTCATTGAAAGGCTGTATTATCAGAATATCATTAAATGCTAATAATAATAATACTTTATGAGGCAGATATTTGTTGAAAACATTACAGATTTCACATTTTCAACCTACAGATCGTGTAAAAATTTCAACGTTGATTTTGAAGTGTTTTGTTGACATTTTTCAACCATTTAGCATTAAACGTTATATCAACGTTGTTTCAATGTTGAAACAACAACTGACATTATTTCAACCATATTTCAACGTTGAAGGTCGGTCATATGCCAGCTGGGAACTAGCATTATTTAACTCACTTGTCTGCGTTATAGTGCAAAAGGCAGAGAGATAGTGATCTTCAAATATTTTAAAAGAAAGTTGGTACTTTTCTGTTATCCGGACCCCACGATAGCCTACCCCTAACCCCGCCCCTAAACCTACCCGTCACTGGGGTTAAGACCAATGAGGGATGACTATAGTTCTGAAATGGTATATGGTGGGGTCCGGATAACAGGAAAGTACCCAAGCATATTTTAGCAAGGGAACTGTAAACATTTTGCTATAGAAACTCCTGGCAAAAGTAGGCTAGTTGCTTGGGAAACGGAACCGAAAAATCTAGTCTAACTACATAAACTGCATGTAGGGTGACCAACAGTCCTGTTTTCCCAGGACATGTCTTGTTTTCACATCCTGTCCTGGCTGTAATTAGTCCATAGCCTACTTTAAATGTTTTGAAATTAATAAGGCATCTTTGCCGTAAGAAATAAATGTAGTAATAAATTAATAAATAAATAAATGTAGTACTACACAGTCATGAGTCACATGCAATCATGGCCATGGCTCAAGTTGGTGCTACATGAAAGACTAACCTGCTTGATAGGCTAAAAAACGTCACTCTTCCTCCTCTAATTGATGTGGCGGGTACCTGCAAGCACACTTAAAAAATGTTGGTGATATAAGGCAATTGGCTACACGGAAATATAGTTTCCTAATTCCTACTGTACAACAAATAATAATTACACCATGTTGTATACATGTTGTATATTGCCGTATTATGGCAACACGAACTTAATTGGTCGACATGGGATTTTTAGTTCTTTGGATATGGACGCAGATTAAGCTTATATACATAATGCAATATCTCGCATTTGTTTGCACTTATTTGTTGAATGTTTGTATGTGCAAATCGTTCAGACTGTACAGGGTAGCTAACATTAACTTATCTCACTAACGTTATCCACCTAACGTTAACTACAAAACATACTACAGGATACGTAACAGAGCATTGATTTCATCGATAGTGCTCACACATGATTCTATCGTCACATTTACCATTACAGCAAACGTATCGCTAAAAAAATACCTTAGCAAGCGCTAGCTCACTACCCACCTGGCTACAAACATACCTACTTTGCCGGGGTTCTGGAGATGTAGCCTAGCTATGCTGTTGAATTTCAGCTAGCTGCTAACGTTAGCTAAATCACACAGGCATTCGCATATCTGTCCTTCTGACGTCATGAGCACTCACATGGTTCTAACTTTCCATTTACCATTACAGCAAACATGATTCAATAAAAGAACACGTACCACTTAACATTTATCACTAAAATAACCCAGTTTTAGGATAATGGGATATACGAGTATTACATCGATCACGATGTCACGTAGCCTACAGTCTCTTTAGCGAACCCAGTGGACGTTTGTGTTTCAAAACTGTAGCTATATGTAGCGGTTGGTACATATTTCTGGCGCTGCAAAAAAGTGTGCAGAGGTACGTATTTCCAATGAGACCGGGTTGAGGGTGGGAGTCAAACGAACTTGGTCCATCTGTACTTCCTTGGCCAGGCAGGTGTCCTCCACATAACAGAGCATTGCGTCTTCCTTCTTGTTAAAGTAGGACAGCAAAAGCAGCAACATCTCTTTGACGTCTTCAGAGCAACCACTCAACTCTCCCCTGATCACTCTCAAGTTTGTTACAGCCTGTAGGAACTTTTTGTTCCTGTTCACACCAACAGTATTGAAGTAGTTCAAGAGTCGTTTCCCCTTCAGATCCACATTCCGGGTGAAAGTTTCTTTAAGTCCAATTCCGGCAAGTTCTTTGAAATGGACTGCCATGACAAGTTCGTTGAATAAAAATGGCCACTCTTTCAGGAGGCATTTTATATCTCCGCCCTGGTTCACTTGTTTACGCTGTGTGTAGAAAGTCAATTTCATTAGACGTTTGACCTCCTCTGCCTTCGTTTTCTCATTTTTGGGGTCATAGAACGCTTCGCATTTTCAATTCTATACTGCAGTTGCTTAACCAAAGAGTGGTACCCTGGCCCAATCACATCTCCCTCGATTATGTCTTGCAGAGATTTAGGATATTTCGCCACCATATTTTTAGCAACTTCGGTAGAACTCTTTTTACTTGGGCAAGGATTTTTTCGCATCATCTCTTGAACCACAATCCGGACCATCTCTCTTCTGATCCGTGGACTTGGACGATTACCTCTCTCTAATAACTGCATTAGTTCCTCTGGTAACTTGTCCCTGTCACAGTCTTCGTCTTCACCTGTTTGTCTCGTCATCTGCACCACGCTTCCCCGGATCCTTTTGTTTCCTCTCCTGATCTCACTCCCTCATCAGCCACCTGTTCCTCGTCTGCTCGTCATCATTTTCACCTGTTTGCACTCCATTTAGTTTGATTCCTCTGTCTATTTAGTTCCATCTTATTCAGTCTGTCTTTGTCAGTCGATGTTTGATGTTACCTGGTGTTTGCGCCTGTTTCCCCTGCCTTCCTGCCTGTATGTTGATAATAAATTCGTATTTTGATGTCAATCTGGATTCCTCCCGCTCCTTCGTCCTGCACTCCTGCACCCCTGCACCACACCCCGTGACAGATCGACTGACCACAAAGCAAGATGGACGCCGGGATCTTCCAGGGGGTTCTACACCCGATTTGCCGGCCCCGTTTGATGCTCGTCCCCCGAAAGCCTGCGCTCACCGTCAGCCCTGCCGAGCCCGAGCTTCCCCCGCTGGTTCCGTCCAGCGCTCCCGAGTGTGCACTCTCCGCTCCGCTGGTTCCGTCCAGTTCTCCCGAGCATAGACTCTCCGCCCGGCTGGTTCCGTCCAGTCCTCCCGAGCATGAACTCCCGTTTCGGCGCCCCCGCTTGATGCTTGTCCCCAGAAAGCCGGCGCTCACCGTCAGCCCTGCCGAGCCCGAGCTTTCACCGCTGGTTCCGTCCAGCTCTTCAGAGATTGAATGCTCTTCACCGCTGGTTCCGTCCAGCTCGCCAGAGACTGAATGCTCTTCACCGCTGGTCCCGTCCAGCTCTCCAGAGACTAAAGGCTCTTCACCGCTGGTTCCGTCCAGCTCTCCAGAGACTAAATGCTCTTCACCGCTGGTTCCGTCCAGCTCTCCAGAGACTAAAGGCTCTTCACCGCTGGTTCCGTCCAGCTCTCCAGAGACTAAATGCTCTTCACCGCTGGTCCCGTCCAGCTCTCCAGAGACTAAAGGCTCTTCACCGCTGGTTCCGTCCAGCTCTCCAGAGACTAAATGCTCTTCACCGCTGGTC